CATGATGGTGGGGGCTGGCACTGGCGGGGGAGGGCGGCGGCAATTCCGACGAACTTGCTCGTTGGGGGTGGTCCCTCCGCCACCGCCGGTTCTTTCGCCGGACCACATCCTGCGAGACCGATGGCCAGACTGACGATGGCGTACCGCGCCGGCTGCATTAGCCCGTCATCAGCGGCCGTTCCTGTAAATCAGCGAAATCGTCGTCGCCCGGTTGACGTTGAACAGCGCCGCGACGGAACGCGCTGAGTGTCGCCGGCGTCGAGCTTGCGCCGTACCTCGGCCTGCTGGTGGGGGGTGAGGGCGCTTTTGCGGCCGAACTTGACCCCGCGCGCCTTGGCTGGGCGCGGCCGGCGCTGGTGCGCTCGACGATCCGCTGGCGCTCCCAGCTCGCCGCGACGCCCAGCACCGCGATCACGACCTCGGCGAGCTGCGATGTCGTGTCCAGCATCGGCTCGGCGATCGAGCGGAAGCCGGCGCCGGTCTCCTTGACCGCGTGCAGGATGTTGAGCAGGTCACGCGTGTTGCGGGCGAGGCGATCGGTCGCCGTCACCATCAGCACGTCGCCGGGATCGAGCGCGCCGATCGCGCGCTTGAGCTGAGGCCGCTCGGCCGACGCGCCGCTGATCTTCTCGCGGTAGATCTTCGTGCAGCCGGCCGCCCTCAAGCTGGGCGAGCTGCTGGGCGAGTCCCGCCGTTGGTCGAGACGCGCGCATAGCCGTAAATCATGCCGCGATTCTGCATCAGATTTTTGCATCAGGGAAGGGCGCGGATGTAAACGCTCGCGCTGATCGACTGACCGGCTGACGCCGGTAGGTTCATGGCGAAGGGCTGAAGCCTTGCTTGTGGGTATGGCGGTCGAGATAGCGCATGATGATATCGTCGGTGATGTTTCCGGACGTGGTTGAGAAGAGCCACGCTGCCAGAAGCGCTGGCCCCAGTAGCGCTGCGGATATGCTCGAACTCCTGCTGGATCTTGCGCGAGGACCGCCCCTTGACCCGGCGCACGGAAGTCGCTGACCGAGATATGCGGTGGATTTCAACGAACATATGGACGTGATCGCGTGAAAGCGCGCCATTGACGATCGTCACGCCCATTTCGACACAGACCTGCTTGATGATCTCGCGCACCCTGAGGCGGACCTCGCCGTGCAACACCTTTGAAACGGTATTTGGGCGCCCAGACGATATGATAGCGATGATGAAAGGTCGTGGCAACCACTCGAATAGTTTATAGCAGGTATCCTCGGAAAGTGAGACTTCACGCCTTTCAGGCGGTCTCCACTTTCCTGAGGATACCTGCTATTATGCGAGTTCATGGCTGAAGCCAGTATCCGACTGAAGTCGGAGGGTTGCTCCAAAGCGTGACGCTAAATGGCGGCGTTCTGATCGCGCTATTTGTCAGTTGCCGGGTCCGATGACGAGGCAATCGCGCGCGGCCTGAACGATGTCAGCGGTGACCTCCTCGACGCGGTTGAGGGTCATGATCCGCCGCATCTGCGAACAGGCGCTCCATGAGCCGGAAGTTGCCGCGCGTGATGCGGATCACGGTTGCCTGCGCTTCTGATCGCGTCGAGTTGGGCCGGGTCGAAGCTGATCCTGAAATCGCTGGCGTGGGTCGCGAGCAGCAGCCGCATTTCGGTCTCGGTAAGCGGTTTGAACTCGTGGACGAAGCCGATCCGCGAGTAGAGCTGGGCATAGCGGGCGAGGCGCTTCTCCAAGCCCGGCATACCCATCAGGATCAGCCGAAGCCGTGGCGATCGGCCATGTCGCGGAGATGTTCGAGCGACTTTATGGTCAGGCGGTCGGCCTCGTCGACGATGACGAGGGGGCAGGCGATGCGGCGGCGTCATGGGTGATTTCGTCCTGCGAGCCGCCTGCGACCGTCAGCCGGGCATAGCCCAGCTTAATGAGGTTGAGGCCCAACACCGCGTCGATCGTCTTGGGCGTGTTGCTGACCGACACGGTGTAGAAGACGGCGCGGCAGCGAGCGACCTTTTTCGCCAAGGAGCGCGGCAATGGGACGGAGCGCGGCATATTCCCCGTGTCGGGAAGCTGGAAAACTCGCGCGCCGATCGCGTCTTTCCGACGCCCGGCCGGCCGCTGACACACGCCGATATAGCGGTAGCGCGCAGGCTTCGGCAAACTCGACGAACCGGGCATGTTCGCGGGTCGCCAGAACGGCTGCTCGACCAGAACTCAATCGTCAGCGGCGTAGAGCCGGAGCCCTCGGTAGGTGGTGGGCCGGGAAGCCGTATCCTCTTGGTCGCCATCGAAGGTCTCCGTGGGGGCAGGCACCTGCTTGTCGCGCTCCTTCGCGCCGCGCCGGGCGCGCTGGATCGCGCGCAACGACGGGGTGCCAGCGTGCTCGGAGCTGAGCGCACGGCAGACGAACCGGCCCCGGTGGTAGACGTGGATCTCGGTCAGGTCGCGGGGTCATAGACCGCCTCGACCTGCTCGACGAAGGCCGCGAGCGTGGGTTCGACATAGCGCCTGCCCATCAGACGGATGCCGTCGCGCAGCACTTTACGGGGCTTGGGCACGTGCACGAGCAGCATGTCGAGCTGTTCAAGGCTGTCGGGCATTGCGGGCAGGAACCCGCCCTTCTGCCAGCGCGTGATCGGCGGTTCGCCGGTGCTGCCATGCGGGCGACGATGATAGACGCCGCACACGAACGCCTCGAAGCGGGCGCGCAGCTCGTCGAGCGTGAGCACTGGCGCCGACAGCGGCTTGCCCGGCGATCAGGTGGCCGGGCAGGTCGGGCAGGAAACATGTCGTTGATGGTGCGGAACATTGCTCGATCTTGCCGCGCCGCGAGGACGCCCGGCAGCAGATGGATGAGGCGGATTTTGAGGGCGATGCACGCCTGCTCGATATGCTCGAGATGAAATGAACCAGTTGTCGACGTAAAGCTGTTCGGGAATGCGCCGACGATCCATTCCGGGATTGGGCTTGCATATCGCCTGCCGCAGGCGCAGAGCGCCGTTGAGGGCATGGGGCATCAGGCTGAGGAAGCAACCGGCGATGGTTTGCTGTGATCGTCAACGATGACGGCCGGGCCAAGGACGCACCGGGGTTCCGGCATCATCGAGCACGAGAATGTCGAGAACGGTATGATCGGCCTGCCACATCTCGTTCGAGGTCGCGTTTCGCGCCGATTTTAAGCTCGTGCTGGTCGCGGTAGGACGGCCGGATCCGGAGGCTGCGGCGATCTGGCTTGCGGTATCGCCTCGACGACACGCGCGACGGCCGCATGGCTGGGGCGTTCGGTGTCCTGCGCGATGGAGAAAGTTCCTGCACCTTTCGTGAATGGCGGCGACCGGGGGTCGCGGGCGCTTGTGTGGGAGAGTGCGGGTCAGTTCGACCAGATGTTCCGGCAGGTGCAGCCTGCCCCTGATCAAAGCGCGGCAGACGCGAGACCGCGGTCCTTCGGCACGGTAGCGCCTGAGCCAACGCTGCAATGTCCGTTTCGCTCAACGTGCCGGTGCAGGCGAGGTCCGGAAAGGCAGGGGATGCCATCGGCGAGTGGTGCGGTTCAAGGACGCGGTAGCGCTCGATCGCCAGCGCAGGACAAGCGCCGGATGCGTCACCAGCGAGTCCCGTGTCGCGGTAAGGAAAACGGAGATTTACCTGCCCATCGCCATACAGAAGTCCGCTCGCGTTGCCAAACCGGCCTGTTCGACGTAAATCTGCCCGGTAAAGAAAACTAGGCAACATAGACCTGCCGATGACGACTTTCTTCCCAAACTGCGCCCGATCAGAGGCGCCACCGGCCCTACGCATGAAAAATCGGTTACGCCCGCGTATCGACCGCCGAGCAGAACCCGGACCTCCAGCGTGATGCGCTGAAGGCCGCCGGCTGCGAGAAGGTCATCACCGACAAAGGCCTCCGGGGCGACTGCCGCTCGCCCGGATTGGAAAAAGGTGAAGGAGCTGCTTCGCGCCGGCGACACACTGGTGGTCTGGCGCCTCGACAGGCTCGGCCGCTCGCTCCGTGATCTGATCGGATGGATGACCTACCTCGACGAGGAAAAGGTCGGGCTGTTGAGCCTGCACGAGGCCGGACACGACCACCACGTCGGGCAAGCTTTACCTTCCACCTGTTCGGGGCATTGGCGGAGTTCGAGCGCAACCTGATCCGCGAGCGGACCCAGTGCCGTCTCACCGCAGCCCGCGCTCGCGGCAAGAAGGGTGGCCAGCCGGCCGCACTCGGCAAGGACAAGCGCGACCGCCGTCAGGCTCTACCACGAGAACACGATGCCGATCGCCAAGATTTGCTCGATGCTCGGCATCTCAAAGCCAACACTCTACACCTATGTGCGATCGGCCGAGACCAAGCCGGTAGCCGCGTAGCGACGCTCGCCGACAAATAGCGCGATCAGAATGCCGCCGCCCAGCGCGAGCGTTTACGCTGGCCGCGATCGGCACCGGCCTCGCGCAATCGACCGTTTGACAGACATTGGTCGATCTGTGGGGTCTATCTGCTGCACGCCTCCCACATAGGCCGCAAACTTCGATCACCGGCTTTGTTGGCGAAACCCCGCATTGGTTACGGCAGCACCCGGATACTTGTCGCGATGTTGTCGTCGTCCAAATGCGTGATCCTGCCGCACTGCTCGCAAAAGCAGGATGCAGTCGTGAACGCAGCCGGGGTGGACATTGGGTAGGTAACGGTTTGCAACCTCTCCACGCAGTGACGATGTTGGCTGCCACGAACAGGTCGAGAATGCGGTATACCGAGTTTGCGGCTACGCGCCGCCGCCGCGCTGTTCCGAAAAGCGATCGGCGATGTCGTAAGCCGACGCGGGTCGGTCGAGGCCGACGATGACATTGAATAGCTGAGCCCGCATATCGGTCCACTGCTCACCGACGCGCTCAAAAGGCGGAGCGCGCGGCTTCAGTAAGCGCTTCTCCTTCCGGCTGCTCGTGCCAGGACGCATGATGCAAGAATATGGCTCGACGGGGTGGCGGGCAAAGGCCGCCCTCTCTCAAGCACTTGGTTCATGTCGCGCGCGCCAGCTGATTGCCGACATGCGCGATGGCAGGACGATAGCGCCGGCAACCGTCAGCGGCGTTTCCAGTGGCGTGTCACCGAACGACAGCACACCGATGGCGAGCACTATAAGCCCAGCCGCGCCAAGCATTACATGGGCCGCAAGCGCCATGTCGTGTCCTGCCGGAGAGAAGAGCCAAGCTGCTCGTCGGCACGGCAATCGCCAGCATCACCGGTGAAAGGTCCGGCTGACTGGAATGACGCTGCTAAGCGCGGGAAGGGCGGCAAAGAGGAGGGGCAACGCGAGACAGTGAATGAGGCACAGCAACAAGCACCCAACGCCGTGTGTTCGATCAGCCCCGATGCGAGTTTCTCAACGTCCCTGCCACAAACCTCTCCATTATGGGATTGGGGCAGGCCGCCCCACCCCCGTCTTCCTGTAACCTTTGAAATGGCATCCCGGTGGGGGGAGGCCTGCTGCCGACACCTTTGTCAGAGGCCGAACCTTAGCGGAGACCCGGATGTCGCGACCGGCAAGCGGCGCGAAGTCCTTGAGGAGCTTGAATGTCGGCGTGCAACTACGTCGAAGATATTGTTGGCGCTGAACAGGGCGATGTCCTGCTGTTGTTGGCAAAGGGTTTGAGGGCTCACTGGCGTTTACCAAGGTGTAGCCGGGCGTGGGGGTCTCGAAGTCGGCGATACGGTCCTGCTTGAACGCGCGCTCCACCTCGGCCCGCGCGGTGAACTTGTCGCCTTGCGCCGCCAGACCGCCAGTAGACGAAGCGGCGGGATGCGCGGCACGGGGCGCGGTCGATGATGGTGGCCCGGACATAATCACCGAGCAGGTCGGCGTTGATGCGCGTGCCGCCCACCTCGAACAACAGCCGACAAATCGCCTTCGAAGCCCCAATAGCTGGCACCTGCTTGCTGGTACTGGAAAGCAGGGTAGGTCGACTTCGCGGCCCGACGGTGCGGCCGCGGCCTCACATACGCCTTGGTCGACCTGCTGCCGAGATATAGTTGTTGAAGCGGTTGTAATAGGCGGATGCGTCGAAGCTGACGCGCTCGCCGTGAACGTGAAGCGTCGCCTCAATCCCGTAGCCCGTTCCAGCCGAGTCCGGATTTCCCAGCTCATAGGCTTGCGTGCCGGCATGAGGCCCGTTCGCGAACAGCTCTTCGGCTGACGGAGCGCGCTCGGTGTAGGGGCCGTTCAGGCCGATGCGGATCGCGTCGGTGACGCCGTAACCAACCCCAGCGAGGCGGAAAACGCGCCAAAGGTGCGCTTCCCGCCAAAATCTCGGGTCACTGCCAAAAAGTCTTGGCGGTCTGGTCGCTCCACTCGTAACGAGCGCCGGCCGCAGCATGGAACAGCCCCGCATTATACTGCTGAAGCGTGAAGATGCCGGTCTGATTGGTTTCATTGCGGGGCAGGAAGAGCTTCGACACCCTCGATGTTGAACGAACGGTTGAAATATTGAACCCCTCTCGCGCCCTACCATCCCCGCTGATCTGCCTGGAAGGAATTCCAGTCGCCCTCGGTGCCCCTGCTGAAGAACGCCGTGCCGATCTCGCCGGACGGTTTCAGCTCGAAATGGCGGTAGCTGGCAGCCAGCGCGGATGCGGATGCGGTCAAAGAAATCCGCCCCCGGTCTCGACCTCGCCGCGCAAGTCGACTCGGTCCTGCCTTGACATCAGGCAGGGTGACTCCTGCGCCTGACCCACTTCGGTCGCATAGCGGATCGGCACGCCGTAAAGGCTGTCGTAACGGCTGTAGCTCACGCCAAGTTGGCCCGTGTCGGTGATGATCGACGCGCGACGCGTCCGTCAGTCTCGGCGGCGGTGTTGGGGCTTGCCTCGGATGGCAGCGGAGGCCGCGAAGTCGATCAGGTCCTCGCACGGTGCGTCTTGCAGCACGCCGACTTGCGACAGCGCGGCAGCGCGTGCCGCTGGCGATAGCGCGTAGCCGCCGATCCTGAGGTCGTCGGCTTTGAGATACGAGCCGTCGGCGTGGAGCACGAGGTGGGGACCGACCGCCACGTCAGCAGCGCCGGCGATCGAACGCTCGTTCGCAGCCGAGCCGTGGTGGCGATGCCATTCAGCCGATAGCCGTTCTCGGGCCGGGTCCGCGGAATGCGCGTATCGTCGTTCACCACACCGCCCACCGCAGACGGGCCGAACAGCAGCGCCGATGGCCCGCGCAGCACCTCAATGCGCTCGGCCAGAGCGGGTCGATGACCACCATGATCGACGGAGGTATTGGACAGGTCGATCGCGCCAATACCGTCCGTCAGCACGCGGATGCGCTCGCCCGGAAAACCGCGCAGGATGGGCCGGGACCCGAAGGGCCGAAGGAGGTCGCCGACACGCCCGGCAGACGCGAGCGTCTCGCCAAGTGACAGGCGCAAGTCTCAGGTCAACGCCTCACCCTTCAGCACCGATGTGCCCTGAAGGACGTCGGTTTCGCTTTGCTGGGTGGGGCGGTGACGATGATGTCACCGGTCGAAGCGGGTATCTCCGGGCGGGATGGCAGGGCGCAGTCGCCTGAGCGGTCAGCGCGTTCGCGGCATCGGTTTTGCTGCTCGGCATTGCGGTGACGCGTTCTGCGCGACCGCGTTGCCGCTGATCCAACAAAGAAATCCCGATTAAAAAGCACCGCCACGGTTCTCATTCCCATCGCCTTGCTGAAGAATATTGCGTCCGCGCGGTGTTATACTGTTACGCGATTCGAGGCCGAGTAGCCGCGTTTCAAAAGGCAGTTCAAGGGGAGGTGCATTTTGATCTGGGCCCCACAACAGGCCGCTGGCTGAGAACCAGCCATGCTGCACGACGAAACCAGATGACTCTTTGTGTATAAGAGCCGCTTGCCACTTCTCTGCACGGTTTATGGACCATCCGCCGACGCCGACTTCGATCGAAATGCCGGCTGCTGCCACTCTTCGATGGCTGCGTGAAACCGACTGTGGCACTCCGGGAAACGGCAATGGTGAAATGCCCGCTTCTGCCGACACCGACTTACAAAACTGACATATTCACTCGAGTTCATGTCGTACGCCCCAACTCAGGTTCCCGATAAGCGCAATGACTTGCAAGGCCTTCTTGAGCCTCCGCAGATCTCACTTCTTCGCGCGGAATTTTCACTCGATGAAATCCACGGGTAAATTAACACAAAAAAAAGGCATCATGATAGCGGCCCGGATCGGTAACTCTCCTACCAATCCACTCCAGTGACCGGTATACCAACCATGAACAAATGTTCCTATCGCGACCGCGATAGCACCTGTTCTGAAGTCCGGGTATCCACCTCAATCTATATTTCATAGATATTCTCATATTGTGGGATTTTATTAGATGAGTTGGCCCATAAGCATCGGCGGCGACCGCTTGGCATCGTAAACAGGACCCGGCTCGCGACATGCCTGCGCGTGAGCGCGAATACGACGCTTATAGTGGTAGGTCTCGGGCGCGAGTGCGACAGATCAAGTACGATACCCACGGACATGGGCGCGACCGTGATACCTGTGACGGAAGTACGATCGCAGCAGCGATCTCAGATTTTGGCCAACGAAAGGGCAGCAACGCCCACGGGCGCGACGTCCTTGTTGGGGACTAGCGGAAGGCGCGACATCATCAGGCGGACGCTCGCCAGCAATATCCACCATCCTGCTGCGACGTCGGGGAACAACGAGATGCCACATAAGCGCGGAGAGCGTCACCGTCGCCGCAATGCGCAGGAGATGGACGACGAAGATGCGGATCAGCACAGGACGACGAAGCGTGAACATTCGATGTCCGAATGCGGCGATACCGATCGACACGGCCATCACGAAAAACCAGAGACCGACAATCGCGGTTCCGACGCTTCCGGTCCTCAACTCAAGGAACATGGGATAGGCGAGCGAGTACGGCGATCGTCGCCACATTGCCAGCAAGCGCGGACAGAATCGCGACATCCTTTACGGCACCAAATGGCGACGCGACCATCTCAGCCCGGCGTTTTGCCCAAAGATAGAACTGCGTCTCCCATGTAGCCCGAGGACAAGATTATTGGTCACCTGCTTGTGAAGCAACGGAAGCAGACCAACGACGGGCAAGCGCCATAGCCCCGGAAGATCGCCCACCGGACACCGGTGTAGCCCAGGGAAGCCGCAAACGCCAACCAGAACAGAGCGCTCGTCGGTACTAAGGTGGTGAGTTATGAACGATGGAGCGCAGCTGAAATGCAACGGCGGCAGATCCCTTAGCGAGAACGCAAGGCTACCCCAACGGGTGAAGCCGGGCGGACAACGCCCTGAAGCGTCCTGAGCGTGGCTGGCAGCGTACTCGGTTTACGTGCAAGCCCAAAGGTCAATATTCATGTTCGTTAAGCCCCGAAAATCGTAGCCCATTGTCACAGGCCGCGGACAATTCGTGTGGTTCGAACGCCGACACGGGGGTGGCATTGCGCGCAAATAGCGTTCCGCTAGGGTCGCATGGCTTGTCGGATGAGTCACGACCATCATCGCCGCCACTGCTCCGATGCGATCGGCAACCCCAGCTCAGACTGACACATTACCAACGCATGATTTGGTGCGCTGGGGGCGTCCTTGCTCCCATCATCAATTTTCCCGGCCGCTCTGAAATAATGTCTATTGTCTGAAGACGCCGCGGCGTACCCATCCGCAGTCCGTTTGCAAAAACGAGCGGACCTGCACGGCCTTCAAAAATCGCGAGATACCGAGACCGAGAAGGCGCGTGGGCGGGCGGGTGTGTACTGGCGTTCCGTGCGCACCGAAAGGATTGCCAAAGGCAAGCGTGTCGCCCCGCGCATTGAAGAGGTTCGTCGCCGACAGGTCCACCACGAACGCTCCCCTGCGAGCCTCAGCCCCGCCCCGAACTCGGCGAACCCGCCCATCCGCCGGTCGAGCCCGGGTCGGGCTCAGCCTAGACCGTCTAGGTAGCGACCGGTCTGCGGGCGACACTCGCCGGGACCCTGCATCGATCGAATGTCGCATCTCGAAGTGGCCGGACGTCGGGTACAACAGGAAGGCGCGGGTCACGCTCCAACTCTGCACCATCAATGCCGCGAACCAGCCGGGCGCGCTGGCCGGAGGCGCCCGCAACAAAGGACCATGCCGATGTCGGCCGCCACCGAACGGTCAGTTCGCCGCCGGGATATTCGCGTCGCCAGCGTTACGCGTCGCCACAAGGCCGGAATTAAGAAGATGGTCCGACTGAACGTCCGACCAGATGGAGCTGAACGCGCCAACTTCGGCCTGAAGCCCCGCCGTCCGAAGTGCGTCGAAATCCAGCCTCGAAGGCGACCAACTGATCGGCATCGTAGCGGCCGGTTTCCACGTTGGTCGGATCAAGGCCCCCGGCCGGAATGCGGACGCAACGCGAAAGTAGGCCAACGAGGTGGAGGAGGGCAACCATGACAGCGTCGCGCTGGGCGATACGCCCCATAAAAACTTGGACCGAACTTCGGTTCCGACATCGTCGTCGCGGTCCTCCCTTGACGGTCGAGCGGAAAACGCGGATGCCAAGGCCGAGACGAAGACCATCGATAAGGGGTCGGCTACCCTCGGCAAACATGGCTGTTTCGGTGACGCTTCTGACGCATCCAGCAAATCTGGCGGGATCATCGGGCCGATTTCCGATGCTCGGCCGCGAGCGCCGCTACGGGATGAGAGATAGAAACGCCCAAAGCCCAAGGCGTTCGGCGCTTTTTGTTCGCAAGGCGGATTTCACGGTCGAATACCTGATATGTGCGGGTTTCGGCATACCGCAGCGGCGCGGTCAGACCGAGGGACGAGGCCGCGCTGCTCGCGTCGTCAACCTTCAGCGTCCTCTGCGTTGCTAGGCTTGTAGAGACGGTCAGGGCATAAGGCCCAGCTCACCTTGCAGGACGCCCGAGGTGAGCCAGACATTATTCGACCGTGGCTCCGGCGTCCGGTCTGCGCGTATCAGCTCTTCCTTGTCGCGATCCACATATTGGCTGTCGAGCGCGCGGATGTTCTGGACCGGCGCCAATGAGGTCAAAAAGTCCACCCCTCGCTTGGGACAGCGCGAAGCGACGCTCTGGTGCCGCGCACGACCGTTCGGTTGACGTCCGAGCGACCTCCAGCGTTGTTGATCCAGCGGCGCGACATCGACGTAGCCCACCAACCGCAAGGCGGCCTGATCCGGCGCACGGGTAAGTTGACGACGCCCTCGACCGACGCGCCGACACCGTGACCCGGGAGGCCGGCGAGACGCTGACGGAGCGACCGGCAATTGGCCCAAATCGGGCGCAATGGTCATCACGCGATAGACGCCGCCCAGTGCTCCCGTGCCGTAAAAGCGGCCCCTGCGGTCCCTTCAGTACCTCGACCCGATCCACATCAACCATTCGGAAGTCGGGATCGGGCGCGTCGTAGTGATCCGGGCCTCGTTCAGGTACACGCTCACCGGGATTGTCCGAAGCCAATAAACGGACTGTCGGCTATGCCCCGCAAGAACAATCGGCTCGCACCGCCCGCCATTCGTAGCAATCAATCCCTGAACCGGGTCGCCACCGCCGACGTGCCAGCGTCCGAGGCCGCGGCGGCGCTTCCATCCAGTACATGGACCGTGACCGGTCCCGGCACTTGCGAAAGCAACTCGCGCATCTTCCCGGCGGTGACGATGATGTCCGATGAAACGGTTGGATCTGCGCTGGCGGCTGTCGGGCCGGCGTTCGGGCGGCAGGGGGCAGCCGATATCCGAAAAGGTCGCCGGTCCGACGCGGTGGGCCGAGAGGCCGGTGCCTGCCAAGAGTCGCGCGTAAAGCGGCATCGATCGTCATCCGGCCTCGCAACGCGATCGCCCGGCGCTGTGGAAGCGGAGCATCGAGCGCGAACGATGTCTTCGTCTGAGTGGCGAGCGCGGCGAGCATCGTCTCAAGCGTACCAGCGGGGACGTCAATCGAAAGGACACGGTCCTGCGCCGCTGCCGGGCCGGCAACGCTAGCCGCCAGCACCACGGACGAGACGCACAGTGCTTCCTTCCACTCGCATCCAACCCCGTCAACTGCCTGAGCGCGTCGATAAGCCGACACGCCCGCTTCGATCGTGATGACGCCCGAGAAACGCCTGTTGGCCCGGGTCGCGGTCGATCTCCACCCGCCGACCTGCGTAGCGCGACACATCGGCGACGACCAGCCTGAGCGGCGCGCGGTTATACACGAGCCGGCCCTGCCGCCAGCTCCCGACGGCCTCGGTCGCCGGGCAGTGATCTCCACCACACCGCGTCCCTGGGTCTGCGAAAGCGCCTTGCCCTGCGTTCAGCACGACGGGCTGAGCGAACCGAACCGAGCTCACCGGACACAGTCCCGGCCTGAACCGCCACCCCTGAGAATACCGTTCTCCAGAGAGACATCGAACCGGGTACCGACATCTTTGACGAGGAAGTCGGCTGCCCTCGACAGTGAAGGGCGAAGCAGGATCGTGGCGCACGTCAAAGAACGCGGTCCCGGTCAGCCGCACGTGATGGGCATTGTCGACATTGGCAACCAATGTCGACCCAGCGCAAGTGTCGCTTTCGCGCCGCTTGGCAGCGTGACGGACCTCATTTCGCCAGCGGCAGTGCGATAGACCGGCGAGGCGGTCGGCGCGTCAAAAGCGCAGAAGCGGCAGTGATACGATGGCCACGGCCGAGGCTGCAACGGCGCCCGCGACGATGCGCCAGCGCAGCCATTTGCGTGCGCCTTTGTTTTGACCGCGCGCGGAAGAAGAGCGGGCCGTAGGCGATCGATCTCTTCATCGGGCAGCGCAATCTCGTTATAACACGCACGATGCTCAGGATTCGCAGCCAGCCAGCGAGTAAAGCCATCCCAGTCAAAGTCGTCGCGATGCTGTCCCTGATGCCACAGCGCGGCCTGCTCGTAGATGTCCTCTGTCGTGGTCATTTCGCATCGCCGCCGACGGAGCACGCCGGCAGTCTCTGGTTCGAACGTAAGACGCCGAGCAAGCCATCCCGCCTCAGTCCTCAGCGATCGCCGAAGAAAAGTCATCGCGGTTGCCATGTGCTTCTCCCACGCCGCTGCGCGTAATGCCGAGCTCTCGAGCCACATCCGCGTGCGGCAACCCATCGAGCTTGTGAAGCCGGAACACTCGGCCGGCTGCGGGCGGCAGCGCCGCGATGGCGGTCGCCAGACGTGCCGAGCGCTGTTGGTCCTCCATCGCCTGTTCGGCGCCCGGGCGCGGATCGGCTGTTTCTGCCCGGCTGGCGGCACCATATTCCGCAACCGACCAGTCACGGTCGCGCGTTGAGCGGCGGCGTCTCTCCCGCATCCGATCCCACAGGTTCTGTGCCGCGCGATAGAGACGCGCGCGCCATTTACGATTTAGCTGCCGCCGGCCGCATGAACTCGCAGCCAGAGCTCCTGAAGCACGTCTTCCGCTTCGGCCGGATCGCCTGTGCGCGTGATCAGAAAGCGGAGAAGCTCGGACGGTACGCTGCGTACAAGGCGGCAAGACCGGATTGCGGGGCGTGGACGAGCTTCTCCCGTTTACCTTTTTCTCTGGGGGCGTTCGAGGCAAAAAAATCCGTCCGGCTTTTCGGCAGGTGCGGTTGCGTCCTGCGGCGGCGTCTCATTCAGAGAGGATGGCCCAAGGGCGGTGGACTTGCAACGCCCGGTGAGCTCTTCCTGTCGAAAGGTTATGAGTTGGGCACTGCTATCGTGGCTGCGGGCAATGTTTCTGCCTCCTCCAGTAATGCTGGATCAGATGGCGATCGTGCCGGTGCTTTTCAAGAAAACGGCACCTGTCGGCCATGTGCCGCAAGAGGTACCGGCTATAGGCTCCGAAGGCGAAGCAACGTCGGCAAACCCCGTTGAGGCTCCCACGCCACCGTCGTCACCGGAGGAAGGTTTGCCGATAGATATTGGCGCCGAGCAGCAGACGGTCGAACACAATGACATTGTGGTCACTGCTCGACCGGGTCATGCGCCGGGAGATCTGTTGCAAGCTGTCAACGCACAGGCATTTGCAATCACCCAGACCGTTGACAAGGCGGTCGTCGCGCCGGTGGCGATGACCTATCAACGCGCCTTTGCCCGCCCGGTTCGTGGGGCAATCCGCAATTTCTTCAATAATCTGGCTGAACCGGTTGCATTCCTCAATTTCCTCGTTCAGCTCAAACCCGGCAAGGCGGCCGAGACGGCCGGACGGTTTGCGATCACAACGGTCGGCGTCGCCGGGATGATCGATGTCGCCCGGAAAAAACCGTTCAAACTACCTCGTAGATCGAACGGCTTTGCCAACACACTGGGCTATTACGGCGTAAAGCCCGGCCCCTTTCTGTTCCTTCCGCTGATCGGCCTTACGACCGTCAGAGACCTCATCGGCCTTGGTATCGACCGAATGGTTCTTCCGTCGGCGTTCGGCCAGCCGTTCAACCAGCCCACCTACACGGTTCCAGCAAGCATCGTTGGGTCGTTTGATTACCGGGTCCAGTTCGACTCACAACTTCGCGAGTTGAAAGACACGCCGGACCCGTATGCTGCTTCGCGCAGGAACTATCTGGAAGGCCGGGCGGAGATTGACGCTCTGCATGGGCGAACGTCACCGCAACCGATCACGCGCCGTACGCTCCGGTTTTCCCATGATGCATGGCTCTCCTGCTCGTTCCGAACTACGCCGCATACAAAGAGAATTGGCTTGCCAAGAGCGAACGACGGGTTCTCCAATGGCTTTGCGCCCGAATGCCTGCTTCCATCACGCCGGATCGCCTGACCGCCATCGGCATGATTGGAGCCACAATGGTTTTTGGCGGCTACATTGCGAGCAATCTTGGCCACCTTTGGTTACTTTTGTCCCTCGCCGGCTATGTCGTTCAATGGTTTGGGGACCTCAATGGACGGAAGCCTCGCGCGGTATCGTAAGATCGAGCGCCCCTCCTACGGATACTTCATCGATCACAGTTGTGACGGGATGGCAAATCTGCTGATCGTGGCCGGGATCGGCTTTTTCCCCGTACGTGACCATGAACATCGCCATGGTCGCGCTGGCTGGTTACCTCTTGATGTCGGTTCACACATTTCCTCGCGGCGCGAGTGATGGGCGAATTGCGACCGTCCTATCTCGCAACGGGTCCTACCGAGCTTCGCCTTTTTCCTGATCCTGTTGACGATTGCGATGATGGCAATCGAGCCCGGCGGAGACCGTATCTGGACGATACCGGCACAGACGCTCTGGTAGGATTAATCGGCGCCGCGCTGATTTGCCTATTTATAGTGCAAACCTTGCTAGTGGCTAGAACACTTGCTCGTGTCGATTCAAATGCGGATCGTTGATGTCAATGGTACTACTGCCCGACAGGAGGTGGGGTTCGAACGTACATCGACCGGAAAATGCGACTCTGGCTGATCTTGGTCACGAACTTATTGTCATCGCACCCGGCCATGAGAATCGTCTCGAACACCGCCCGGGGGCGCGTTTTCTGGTAGCCGCACCCCGCCTTCCGTTCGACCGAAGCTACGGGATGTTCTGGGATGGGCTCCGGTAACGGCACTGCTCGATGAACTAAATCGACGTCGTCGAGAACAAGCTCGCCGTTTCGCCCCGCATGGATCGTCGCTAACTGGAGAGCGCCCGCAGCTACAAGTCTTCTTCGCACAATGACCATATGACTGCCTACGCGCAGCGTTGGGTGGGACGACGGCCTCGCGGCAAAAAAGTTGAGAGTTGGTTTGGGTGGTACACCCGCTACCTTGCTCACTTCCTCGACAGGTTCGATGCCTTTGTCACGAATGGCAGGGACGCTCGACCGTTGGTATTCCGGCCGCGGACTTCAGGTCGATGCACCGCTTCCGCTCGGCGTGGAAGGCGGCGTTTTCGCCCGCATCTTCGAGATGAACAACTACGGGCAGCGCTACTGGGCGAGTGCCACCTTCCCGCCTTGTGCGCATTTACTTATCGGGGTCGGGAGGCATCACCGGAGAAGCGCTGGCCGATGGTTATTGATGCGGTTGAACAAGCCGGCCAATCGGCACCTATTGGGCTCATCCTCCTTGGCGACGGCGTCGATCGACCCAAAATCTTCAGCCGCGTCGCTGGCAATCCCCACATCCGGCTGTTTAAGCCGATCTTCGAGCGTGAGCGATTTGCATCCCGTTTGCCAGCGCAGATGCGCTCGTGCACGGATCGGATACCGAAACCTTTTGGTCTCGTTGCCTTGAAGCCATCGCGTCAGGGCTGCCGTTGATTGTTCCTAACGAGGGAGGGTCAGCGGAATTTGCAGCACCAAGCCATTCCGAATCCTATAATGCGCGTGACGCGAAATCCTGCGCAGCGGCGATCCTGCGCCTGTTGGCGCGGGATCCTGCACAGTTACGTTCGGCAACCACGGATGCAGCAGGAAGAGTTCGTACGGATCTCGATCACCAATTGATCTACTGGATTATTATAATCAGCTACTCTTACGACGATCGATTTCATGATAAATTTCGCGAAAAAAAATGAAGCAAGGGTTGTAGTCATTGACGTATCTTACGGAAAACACCGGTGGTTTGATATAGCGCGCATCCTACTGGCAGGGTTGCTGGGTGCCATAATTGGCTGGCAACGTGAGCACCACGGCAGGAAGCCGGAATCCGAACCTACATGGCTGCTTCGCTAGGAGCCTGCGCCTTCGGACTTGTGTCGAACGCCATCGGGGACCAAGGTCGCATCTCTGCGGGAATTGTTACTGGAGTAGGATTCATTGGCGCCGGCATCATCCTGCGCGACGCTGGGCGCGTGACAGGGGCTCACAACGGCAGCTACGCTCTGGGCGTCTGCAGCGGTCGGGTTAAGCGCCGCGTACGGGATCTATCATCTGGCTGTCATAACCGCTCTGATGCTTCTTTTGATCCTTTTGAGCTGCCTCGCATGCCAGGTGGACGCGGGGTTTCGCACTGAGCCCGCTTGTGGCTGCACACCATTCGGATTCCGACGACGAACCTACTCGATGAACATCACCTTGCACGCCGAAGCAGGCCAATCGCTCGGATCTAGCGCCGTGGAAGTTGGAATTGACGTCCCTTTCTCGGGATTTTCGCTTGATGCAGCTTTTGAACGGCCAAATGAGCCTGCGGCTCAATCCGTGCTATGATACGCTTGTACTGGGATGTTCGATGCGCTCGCTAAGCCTCGCTGTTTGCGGCCTTCTTCTCGGTGGGGCCTCCGGCTTTGCTCAATCGCCGAACTGGTTGAACGCCCGGACGATCGAAATCGACATGAAGAATTTCGCTTTCGTTCCAGCCACGATCACGCTTCAACGCGGTGTTCCCTACCGCTTGCGCTTTGTTAACACGGCAGGGGGCGGCCACAATTTTGTCGCCAAGGCCTTTTTCGAGCAAGCCAGTATTGCCCCTGCCAGCCGGTCGACGATCAACAAGGGTGAGGTCGATCTGGGAGGCGAGAAAGCGGGGACGTGCGCCCGGTTGTCAACCGGATCGGAACCTACGACGTGCATTGTTCGCACTTCATGCACTCGATTTTCGGCATGAAAGGCAAGATCGTCGTCCGGTGAGCGTCACTGGCTCGGCTCTCTTCCATGTCATGGCTGAGGACGTTCGGCGTAATGCAACGGCAAAGCCAACTCAGGCTCTGATAAGTGATCTCGTCGGGCTTCGTAACATTGCCGTAGTCCGTTTCGCTGGCCTCATATTTTTAGAGAGCAAGTCAACGGGCCCGACAGCGACCACCCGAAGGGCTATTGCGACGCACTCTCAAATCACCTATTGCGTTGGTGAGAAGATTCGCAAAAGGGTCAACGGTGAGAAATCTTGGTATTGGAACTGCACTCGGCTTCGGGCTGCTCACCGTCCCGGCAATGGCTCAAGACCAGTTCCTGCCGGGACCCGGCAGCACCTCGCAAACGATCATCGTGACCGGCGTCCGCGACGGCTATCAGATCGATGCG